CTTTTCCCCATCCAGGATGATATTGGCAGTGGGCTTACCATATCTGGCTTTAATTATGTTGAGGTATTTTCTTTCTATGCCTAACTTGGAGATAGTCTTTATCATGAAAGGATGTTGAATTTTATCAAATGCCTTTTCAGCATCTATAGAGATTTCAATATGCTTTTTGTCTTCGTTTTCATTGAAGTGGCGTATTACATTTATTGATTTTCATATGCTGAACTAACCTTGCATCCCTGGGATGAATCCCACTTGATCATGATGAATAATTTTCTGTTTGTGTTGCTGTGTTCTGTTAGCTAGCATTGTATTGAGGATTTTTGCATCTATATTCATCATGGATATTGGCCTGTAGTTTTCTATTTTTGATGCATCTTTGCCTGCTTTTGTTATCAGGGTGACATTTGCCACATAGAATGATTTTGGGAGAATGTCCTCTGTTTCAATCTTTTGGAATAGTTTGTAGAGAATTGGTATCAGTTCCTCTTTGAAGGTTTGGTAGAATTCTGCAGTGAACCCATCTAGTCCTGGGCTTTTCGTTGTTGGAAGCCTTCTGATAACAGCTTCAATATCTTTTATTGTTATCGATCTATTCAGATTTTCTATATCTTCTTGGCTCAGTTTTGGTAGTTTCCATGCATCCAGAAATTTATCCATTACCTCAAGATTTTCAAATTTGTTAGCATATAGGTGTTTATAGTCATCTCTGATGTTTCCTTGTATTTCTGAGGTGTCATTTGTAATATCACCTTTTTCATTTCTAATTTTTGTTATTTGAGTCTTCTGTATTCTTTTGTAGTTAATCTTGCTAAACCTTTGCCAATTTAATTTATCTTTTCAAAAAGCAAACTTTTTATTTCATTGATCTTTTGCATTGTTTTGGGGCTTTCTATCTCATACAATTATGCTTTGATCTTAATTATTTCTTTTCATCTACTACCTTTAGGTTTGGATAGTTCTTGTTTTTCTAGATCTTTAAGGTGAAGTGTTAGGTTGTTTATTTGCCATCTTTCCATTCTTCTGAAGTAAGCATTTAATGTGATAAATTTCCCTCTTAATACTGCTTTTGCAGTATCCCACAGGTTTTGGTATGATGTGTCATAATTTTCATCAGTTTCAAGAAATTTTTTCATTCCTGTTTAATTTTGTCTTGGACCCATATATCATTAAATAGAATGTTGTTTATATTCCATGTGTTTGTATGGAAGAAACAATAATTCTGATAATAATATTACATTTCAGAAGGGCAGAGCAGACCTGTGGTTACTAGAAGCAGGAAAGAGGTTGGGGAAAAATGAGTAGTTTGCTTATGGACACATGCCAGCCCGATAGAAAAAATAAGTTCCGTGGTTGTACATTTGAGTTAGGCCTCTGTAATTTACCTTCATTTACTGCATGTTATCCAAGGGCAAGAAGAGAAGAGTTAGAATGTCATCATCACAAAGAAGTGATTTGGTTTTGGAAAGATAAATATGATAATTACCTTGATTCATCCTCACACATTGTGTAATGTATTGCTATTCAACTCTGTAACCCTCAAACATGCATAATCAATATGTTTAAAAATAATTAATTAAGTAATTAAAAATATTGGGAATAACATGTGATCATGAGGACACCATGATCTATAAATAATGTTTTGAGATTGAAACTCCAGGATGATGGTGAATGGGAACTCTTGTTCACAGTCTCATGCAGGTTAGAGCCTGACCAATGTTTGGAGGGGAATGTTAAATAACATTTGTGAGAGGCCAGTGATTTATATTAGGCTTCTGTGTCATGTCTTACAGACTAAACTAGTATGAACCTTTACTGCCACAGCAGAGCTTCAGTTCATTTCAGAAGACTCTGTAACCAAATAACTAACTAAACTGAAAGCAACTGCTCCTCTATTACACACAGATATTGATGTTCAATGCTATAACTCACAGATATATGCAATCAGTGTGTTTCAATAAAAGAAGAAACTACTGATTTGAATAATGTTATAGACAAAATGAACATAAAACACACATAGATCTTTACACCCAATGGCAAAATTATGCACAATTTTTTCACTCACACTTGGAACACTATACAGGATAATTTTCATGTTATGTAACAAAATGACTCTTGACAAATTTAAGAAAGTTAAAATTGATCTAATGTCTTTTCTGACCTCATTGAATTTAAATTAAACAACAATACTAACAAAAAGGTATAATACAGCAATGTGTGGAAAATAAAGAACACACATGTGAAGAACCATTGTGTCAAAGGGTAAATAAAAATGTGACTTCAGAAATATTTTAACAGATAAAAATTAAAAGGCAAGGTAACAAAAGTTATGAAATGCGACAAAAGCATCACAGTGAATAACAGTTATGAACACCTTTGTTAAAGAATTAGGAAGATCTCAAATAGCCAGCCTATGTTTGTTCTGATGACGTTAGTATTATGATATATTCCGAACCATGATGAACTGAGAGGTAGAGATGTCTCTGGGATGCAAGGATGGTTCAAAATAAGCAAGTTAATAAATGTGATACCCACATTGCAGAATGAAGGAGAAAAAACATATGATCTAAACAGATGCCAAAAATAGATTTGACAAAATTGAACATCTTTTTAATAATTAGAAATTTCCACAAACTACTTATAGAAAAAAAATTCCTCACTACATTATATATGACAACCTCACAGCTAACATGCTTAACTGTGAAAGCTGAAGGTTTGTTATGTGTGATCAGAACAAGACAGGAAAACCCTCTGTCACCAAATGTCTACAGGGTAGACCTGGAAGTTGTAGCCAGAGCAATGAGATAATAAAAATAAATAAATGACATCCACATAGCATAGGAGAATAAAAACTGTTTCTGTTGCTGATTAAATGATTTCATGTAGAAAAAGTTTAAAAATTCTGCCTAATAACTGTGAGAAATAATAAATAAATCAAGTACTGTTGCATGATACAAAATCAATGCACAGATGTCAGCAGTGTTCCTATACACAAACAATTAACGACTTAAAGAATAAATCAATAAAACAATACCATTTAGAATAGAATGAGTCACAATTTACAACTAAATTTAACCTAAACTTTCAGAACTAAATTTAACCTAAAATTTCAGAACTAAATTTAACCAAATAGTTATAGATTTGTATACTGAAATCTCTGAAGCACTGATGAAAAGAAAGAAAGATAAAAGAAAATGACGCAAATAATGGAAAGCTATTGTGTGTTCAGAGATTTGAATAATGAATATAGCATCTAACACAAACATTATCAAAACACTAATGTGAGCTTTTTTCATAAAAATAAATTCTAAAATTTTTTGAAAACCACAGAAGACCTGAAATAGCCAAAAAATTTCTGAACTAAATTACAAAGTTGAAGTTCATCAGTGATTTTAATTTGTACTGAAACTTTTTCAGAATGTGTTATGAGATGCTAGCTCTTGTTCAACTTTCCTGGGAAACGTTGGTTTTCCTTTGTTTGCATCTTTACAAGATTGTAATCTCAATTGGATGCAGACAGCAAGTCCTGACCCACTTGCTGGTAACTGTCATTCTGATATCACTTTGGGTTTCATAGTCTTTGAAGCACAGATCAGTCACGATCCCTGTGCACACCTCTCAGGAGACAGCCTGGACTCTTGACAGTGGTCTGCACCCACAGTAACTCTCAGAGCCTTTGCTCTGTGTTTCCCCATCAGCTACACAATCACACATCAGTAGGTGACCAGGTCTCCACACAGGTGCAGCAGTATCCTCTCCACCTGCTCCTCTCCCTGCTGCTCCCTCCACTATGAGCTTCCTGGGGGTTTCTCTTCCTGACTTTATGTCCACAAAGGCAGGGTTTTCACTGTTGCTGGTGCTTGAATGAGTCAGGGATGGAGAATTCCACATGTTGTCACATCACCGGAACATGGCTGGGAGGGAAATGGAAGGAAAAGGGGTGCTCCCTGGTTGTTGGCACATATAGTATCGAGGGAGCAGAGCTAAAATGTTCTAAGCCACAGAAACTGTAGCCATTACTTGTCTACTATCCATAATATGGTATATAAAGACCCCATAAAACTCATCTACAGAAAGAAGAAAACTCATATAACTTCATTTATATGAAACATCCAGAATAAGTGAATCCTTAGAGATAGAAAATAGTTTAGTGTATTTCAGGGGCTTGGAGAGAGAGATGGGAGAAGTGACTGATTGCAGGGTATAGGCTTTCCTTTTTGTCTGATCGGCAACATAAACAGCACCAACTTAGACAAGCCCAAGTACAAAATGGCACGGCCACCTCCTTCCCTGCCCTCCCTCTTCCCTTTATGAGAAGCCTCCTGACCTAAATAGAAACCCCTTTTGGTTCCACAAGGACACAGTTCCCCACCCTGATGCACATTAACATCATTACCCTCCTTGATGGTGTCAGCCAGCCCTCGGCACACTATATAAGCTCTACCACCCTCACTCCTTGTGCTGTCCCCTTTTCAGGGCAGCCATGGGGTGCCTGCTACTTTGAGCACAGCCTGACAGATTTCTTTTTTTTAATAAAGCTTGAATGGTACCAGGCATCTCCGCTCACTTTCTTACAAAAATGTTCTATAACTAGACAGTGTGGATCATAAAATGCAGCGTGAGTATATTAAGTGCCACTAAACTGTACACTGTACAATATTTAAAATGTTGTATATTGTGCAGAGCACTAATATTAATAAAGCAAGTGTATTTCACATGGCCTAGCATCCAAAGCCCTGTAGTTTCAGGCATAACCTAACTTTTGAAAATGACATATAGAAATGTTACGCTTGCAAAAGACAGGAAAATTTCCCCAGGCTAAAGTCTTGGTTGTAGATAAAGGATTGTAAAACAGCAAAATTACTGGCTGAAGGACAGAGGTCCTTGGCAGGTTAACCTACTGATTGATATGCTAAGAGAGTTACATGATTGTAATGTAAATATGCAAAGGAATTGCTGTAGGGTTAGAAAACTGTTTGCTGAGAACAAGCTTTTCCTGGTTGACAAACTTAACTTTTTACAAATTAATGAGTGTTGCCATGGCAAATATTGTACTCTTCTTTTTGTAACCACCTGTTTTCCTTTTTGGTAACCTCCTGCCCTGGAAAATAAATATTGGGAGTAGAACCCAGTCCAGTGTTATTTTTCCAAGGAGGAATGCCTGTCTCTTGAGGGTTCCTGGAAAATTAACCCCTTCAGGGCTTCTCACTACTCCGAAGAAATGGGCTTTGAGTAAACCTATTTGCATCTCCATCACCCAGGGGGAGAGGTAACAAACTGCCACCCAGAGGGAGAGGTGACAGTATATAACATGAGAGGAGGAGTTGGAGGGAGGTTGAGGGATACTTGGGTGGGGACAATGGGCACAATAGTAATTTCTGGTAATGAGTATGCCCCCAGTATCAATCTGGCCCTCACATCATGAGCAGGAGGGGTGACAGTTAGCTTTGTATCTTAAGAATATTTTTAAATAAATAAATAAATAAATAAATTAAAAATATATTATGTAAATTTTACAATAAAAATGAATTTAATTTCTGTTTCAAACTAATCAGTTTAAGGTAAGGGACACCAGGGAATCAAATGAATTAAAAATAACAGTTCCTGAGTACGATTTTTACTGAACAGGAAGAGGAAACACCAAACTCTGAAAGGAAATTCAGGGTATCCTCTGCACCTGGTTGTGAGTGGAAATTCTGTAATATGTGGGACCTGAGCTCCCCCTACCACCAAGTCTCCATGCAGGGAGGTTTGTGTCTGGGCTCACACTGACATTCCCTCACTGTGTCTCTCACACAATAATACACAGCCGTGTCCTCGACTTTCAGGTTGGTCATTTTAAGAGATACTGTGCTTGTAGGGTTGTCCCTGGATATTGTGAACCTTCCTTGTACTGATGGAGAGTACCACTGTTTACTTCCACTTGGCTGACTCACTCGTGCCACCCACTCCAGCCCCTGCCCTGGAGCCTGGCGGACCCATTGCATGCTGTAGTTAGTGAAGGTGAATCCAGAGGCTTTGCAGGAGAGGCTCAGAGAACCCCCAGGCTGTCTCATGTCTCCCCCCGACTCCACCAGCTGGATTTCACACAGGACACCTGCAAACACAGAGAAAACAGACTGAGAACAGCCCATATGGAGCAGTCACTTCTGAGCCTGATGCAAGAGGGACATTACCTTTGAGAGTGATAAGAAGGGAAACCCAGAACAGTGCAGATCCCATGGTGTGGACACAGAGAAAGGCACAGACATGGGGTGGCTCCTTGCCAGGATGAGCAGAGACAGGAGATGAGCTGCTTTTCATGAGCAGGGGAGGGGCCAAATTTGCATGTATCTCTCCTGTGAGCATGTATGAGGTGTCCAGAAGTGCTCATCACTCTGAGCCTCTGGTGTCTGAGGGCAGGCAGAAGGATTCCTGTGCCTGGATGCTCAGGATGACTCTGCCCATTGGAGTTTTTTACTAGATATGCTACACCTGGATGTGAGATGGAAATTTTGAGAAAACTCTTGAGTGCATTTTGACAATAGAATCTCTCAAGAGGTGCCATGGATCAGGGTTGTGCAGCTGACAGTGTCCCCTAGTTTTCCCTCTGAGTCATGCAGGCTGAATGACTCTTGTACCCACCAAAGACTCCAGGCTGGAAAGAGCAGTTTATCTCTTTCTTTTGACATTAGAACTCTTAATTCTTGGGCCTTCACCACCACCCTGGTTCTCAAAATGAGAGTTACACCATCAAATCCTCTGGTTCTATGGGCTCAGGCCAAATCATACTAATGTCTTTGTTTGGAGTTCAGTTTGCAAAAGGTGTGTTGTTGGATTCCTCGGCCTGCATAAGGGAGTGTAAGCCAACTCCCATATTAAATATAATTTCATCTATCATCTGTATACTTATCTATCTTATTATTGCTATTTCTCTAAAATACACTGACTAATACAATTAGTTACTTTCTCATAAATTTTGACACTTAACGTGTAAGTTAGGAACATACACATTAAGGACTGTCATGTTTTTTGCACAGATGCTGATCACTATAAATACTATTTTTTCTCCCTGATAAGTTTCTTTTCTCGAGAGTCTGCTTTATCTGAGTTAAATAAAACTGCTCTTGATGTTTTTCATTAGTGTTAGCATAGTACATATTTCTCCATTTAATTTTACTCTATATGTGTGTTTATATTTAAAGTGGGTTATTGCAGACAGTGGAAATTTGTCTTGTTTCTGGTTTCACTCTGACTTTCCCTATATTTAATTGGTGCATTTGTATATATTTGTTTAATTAATTATCATATATATATATGTGTGTGTATATATATATTTTATTTTTTTGAGACTTCATGATACGGGGATTGAGCCCTGTACCTGAGAGTTATCAATACCATGTTCTAAATGACTGTGCTCACTAGACAGTCCAATTGGTGCACCTAAATCATTAACATTCAAAGTAAGTTTTTATTTATAGTTTACTTTTAATAACAAGGGTTTAAACTGTGTGTGTCCACTTTTATGAAAATTGCTTTTAATAAATATATTGAAAACTTTTGAAGATCCACAGTGACCCAAAATTACTCTCAGACAAACTGTGTGGCCAAGAAACACTATCAATGTAGGTGCATACAGACAGATGTCTCATCTCACACACAGACCATGTGAACCTATGGTATCAATAAATACAGTACAGCAATGTGAATATATCTTCTTTCTTACAAGGTTTCCAATAACATCCTCTCTTCTTTAGCTTAATTTGTTGTAAAAACACAATATATAATATATATAACAAACAAAATATGTGTAAATTGACTTCTTTTGTTATTGACAAGACATTTGGTCGACAATAGGTCACAAGTTGTCAAGTTTTAGAGACTTAAATATTATATGCAGATTTTTCAACTGTGCAGGCATTTTGGTACCTTGAACCCCTGCATTCTTTGTTTGTTTTTGTTTTGTTATTTTTTCTCAGTAATGACATTCGGTGGTAATGTTGAAATTGTTATTCAATATTGTTAATGGTTGTGAATATTCACGGAGTACAAAGCTGAATGTCACCACTAGTGCCCAAGAGGTGATGGCCAGAACTATACTGGCAATAAGTACATTACCACAAATTGTGATTATACCCCATGTCCCCTACATAATTATCCTCCCCCACCTGTCCCCTCCCCCTTTTCCCTACTCAACTTTGCATCCATAGGTATGTTCTCTCCCTCTGAAAGTCCAACACACCACTGTGGTCTTTATTTCCTTTCTTCTTTCTCTCTTAGTTCCCACTTATTACTGAGGACATGTGGAATTTATCCCTCTGTGCTTTGCTTATTTCACTCAATAGAAAATTTTCCAAGCTCATCCATGTTGTTGCAAATGGGATAATTTCATTCTTTTTTATGGCAGGGTAGTATTCCATGGTGTATATACACCACAATTTCCTTATCAAATCATCCATCAATGGACATTTAGGTTGGTTCCATAACTTGGCTATTTTAAAAAGAGCTGTGAGGAACGTGGGAGTGCAGGTGTCCCTCCTACATGAAGTTTTCTATTTATTTGGGAATATGCTCAGAAGTGGGATTGCTGGATCATATGGAAGATGTATCTGTAGTTGTCAGAGGAACCTCCATACTATTTTCCATCGTGGTTCTTCTAACTTACAGTCCTGCCCACAGAGCAGGAATGTTCCCTTCTCTCCTCATCTTCGCCAGCATGTGTTATTCAACATCACTTTTATTATCGCCAGTCGAAATACGGTGAGGTTATATCTTAAGGTGATTTTACTTTGCATTTCCCTGATGACTACTGATGTTAAGCATTTTTTTCATGTACCATTTGACCATTTGCATGTTTTCTTTGGAAAATATCTTTTTTGCTCCTTTGACCATTTCTTAATTGTTTTTATTTTTTACTATGTAATTGCCTGAGTTCCTTGTATTTTATGTACATTATTCCCTTGTCAGATGCATAGTTAGCAAAAATTTTCTCCCACTCTGTATGTTGTCATTTCACTCTGTTGATTGTTTCCTTTTCTGTGCGGAAGCTTTTTTGTTTTTTAGTCCCATTTGTTTATTTTGTCTTTTGCTGCTGTGTTTGGTTTTGACTTCACATTTGTAAACTCTGTGCCAAGACATAGTTCCTGAAGTGTTTCACCTTATTTTCTCTTAGTAATTTTATGGTTTCAGGTTTTGTACTGCAGACTTTAATCCATTTTGAGTTGATTTTAGTGTATGCTGAGAGGTGCACGTCTACTTTCATCCTTCTACACATGGATATGCAATGTTCCCAGCACCACTTATTTAAGTGGCAGTCTTTTCCCCAATGTATGTTCTTGTTGCCTTTTTCTAATATCAGAATGCTGTAAGCCTGAGGGGTGATTTCTGGGTTCTGTCTTCTGTTCCAAGTGATTATTTTTATGCCAGTAATGTGCTGTTTTGGTTATGATAGCTTTGTAGTATAATTAGAAGTCAGGTAGTGTTATGTCTCTGATTTTATTATTTATTTATTTATTTATTTTTGCCAAGGATTGCTTTTTCTATTCAAGGTCTTTCTTACTCCATATGAATGTTAAGATTGTTTTTTACATTTATGTGAAGAATGTCATTGGTATTTTGATGTGGATTGCATTGAAACTGTTGATTGCTTTGCGTAGTATAGATATTTTCACAATATTATTTCTTCCAATTCAAGAGCATTGAATGTCTTTCCATCTTTTTCTGTCTTATTTAATTTCTTTCCACCTCTTTGGTAATTGATTCCTAGTTTTTTTTTTTTTTTGTGTGGTCTTATTTAATTTCTTTCCACCTCTTTGGTAATTGATTCCTAGTTTTTTTTTTTGTGTGTGTGTGTGTGAGGGTGTAATAAAAACACATTTAGGCAAAAGAGGCCTCAGAATACTTGCTATACAGATAGTCTTATGAAAGGAACCCTATCAGGGTGCCTTCATTTTTCTGTTCTTTCTTCTGCTTAGGTAATTACAGAAGACTTTTTTCTGAGCTCACTGAACTTTTCTTCTGTTTGAGGAAATCTGTTGTTGATGTTTCCCTTGGAAATATTCATTTCAGTTGTTGTGTTTTGTCTTCAAAATTTCCAATTATTTTTATTATGTTTTCTATCTCTTCATTAAACTTCTGATTTTGTTGACTTGTTTTCCTGATACTGTTTCATTATCCACCTGTCATTCTCTTGTGCTCACTGAACTTATTTAATGATTATTTTGAATTCCATGTTAGGCATTTGGTAGATCTGCACTTCTTTGTGTTGGGACTGGTTCTTAATGTTGCTACTTTGGTCTTGCTCTGTATCTATAGACCTGGGTCATGAGTCCTGGCATGAAGCTTGGATCTGTGGGAGGCTTCCAGGCTTGGGGGTTATAGAAGCCAGCCTGCCAGGTGCAGTGGGCCTGGAGCTTGGGATGAAGGTGTTGCCCTGTCACTGGGTTTCCCTTGGATAGGCCTGTTTTGGGGTATGTGGTGAACGTGGGCGCTCACTTCAGATGTCTTTTCTTCCATGGAGGGTTTCTCTCTCCACTATGTGCTCCATGAATGTTGGGGAGGTGGGATATGTCTGATGTAGAACTGCCCTTTCTAATGTCTTCATTATGTCTTTTTTTCCCTGTACTCTGTCAAGGTGATGTAACCTTTCAGATCTATTCCTTAGCACCTCTGAACGTATTTTCAGGTGTGAATGTTTTTTCAAATGGACATTTCAGGGAGGAAATGAAAGCTGGTGACTTCTATTTCTCCATCTTGCTGAATTCCTCAAATTGTTTTGATAACTTCAATCAAAATTACTAAAACTTGGAAGTATTCATGATTCCATGAGCAACTGTAGTGGGAAAAAATCCTGAGGTACATCCAAACAATGGAGTATTATGGATAAATCGAAATGATCTATTAAGCCATGAACACTAGATTAATCTTCAGTGCATTATACTACAGGGCATAATTGAATATTTGTCTCCTCCAAATCTCCTGTAGGAATTTGATCTTCACTGTGGTGGTGATGGGAGGCAGGGTCCATTGGGAGGTGTTTAGATCATGGGTGAGGATGAACGCATTCCATGGAAAGTGACTGAGCTCACCAGGAGTGGACGAATGTGCTTAGGAGCAGGTTGTTAAAAGGGGTGTAGCTTCCTTAGTTTCTCTGTCCTGCTTCCTCACACCATGTGATCTGTACACACTGGCTCTTGTTTCATTTGCTGCCATGAGAGGAAACAGACTGCAGCCATCATCAGATGCAGCTGCCCCAGAATCAGGAGCCAAAGAAACCTGTTTTCTTTTTGAATTAGCCAAACACAGCAACACAAAAATAAACTAACACACCAAAAACTCAGTGTGAAAATAGACAAAGTATAAAAATACAATTGCATAACATCCTGAGAAGTTAAGACATAAAGACAGTTAAAAGATAATTAGTTTCCGGGGATTTCTAGGACAGTGAAACTCTTTGTGGGATACAGCAATGGGGGACATATGACATTATGCGTTTACTGAATTCCATGTAATTTTACAGTCCAGAGAGCAACCTTATTGTATGAAAGCTAGAAATAATGTTTCAGGAGGTTGAGGATCCCAGGAAAGAATGCAGAGGATCTGAACGTGTGAAACAACCTCTGTGGAGAAGGGTGCGAATGGTTGTCCTCAGGAGTTCCCAATGGAAGTGAGTGGTGTCAGGAGCAGTAAAGGCAAATGTAACTGTGTAAAGAAGTGCTTTCCAGTTGATACGCAGTCATCACTGATAGTGATGTCCATATACGCTGTAATTTAACCCATACACTTATTGAGGGCAGGTGGTGGAATCCAGGTTTACTGTGCTGGAGTGTGGACTCATAGATCAGCAAGGGGACAGGGCTGGAGAAATCCATGTGGCCAAGGATTGGAGTTGGAGACCTCAGCCTCAGCCCACCCTTAGCTTCCTGTAGGTAGGGATGGTGACTTCTATAAAAACTCATGCGCACGTGCACGTACACTGTTCTGTAGACACACCTGCTGCCTAGTTCTGTAAACTGAGAGTCCAAGAAGCAAAAGCACCATCGCTGTTTGCACACATCGTGGTGATATCTGGATCTCAAACTTCCTCTCCGTTAAGAGGATCCGTGGCTCTTGAAGCAATGCTGAATGTACTGCTGGGAAGGAAATACATGAAGTGAGTTTGAAGCATCATCTTGTGCGGGTGGTCATGCTTGATCTGCTTCACCCAGACAAACCATCCCACAAAAATGGGGGCACACCAGAGGGGACAGGAGTCATTGAAAGAGCACACGATGACCAACAATGGAAAAATGTGCAGAAAAACATGGGTGAAGAAGCACCAGATTATTACCAAGGTTGAAATAATATACAAGAATCCGTTCTGAAAAATAGGAATAAAACTTAAATATAAAAATTGTGTTAAATCAGAAATATCATGAAACATTTCGGAGGTCCTCTGCCCACAAGCAGGAGCAAGAAAACTTCCCCCTTTTAGGCATGGGCTGCACATGGTGACTTTATTAGAAAGACTACATTATGGAAAGGGTGGGAGTGACCTCACAGCCCAGACACCTGACAAACGCTACCTAGGCAGGTGAGCAAGGCCAACCTCCGCAGTGATGTCACGTTGATAGTACTTTATGGTGCGACAGGGATGCTGGTCAAGTCTATGGTTCCTTCTTAGGCACTTAACTTCAGTCCATTCATGAGTCCAGCATCAGGTGGATCCCAATTCTGGGACAGTCTACAAAAGGTGTCAGCAGCACTCTTGACAGCTGGTAAGGTCATCTACGGAAGGGTGTCTGAGAAACTGTCAGGACAGAAAGAAACCTAACACACATCCAGTCTAAACGTAGTGTGGAATCCTACACAGGCTCCACATAGAAGCAGAC